CACATCCTCTCCAAGCCCACTGAGTATTCGCCATGAGGCTCTGCACTTGGGAAGTAGGGTGCAAACCTCCTCCATGGTGGGGATCCCCTTTTAAGAGAGTCCCAAAGACAGCTGTCGAGTAGATCTGCCAGGATCGAGTGGGTCCTGTTGAACTGAGCTGCCAGGAAGAGGTGGATGGCTGAAGGCACACAGAGTTTGTCTACAGAGCAGGTGTACGCAGAGTGCAGAGCTTGAGTCCTAACACAGCAAAGCCATGGCCATACAGGATCCCACATGGGCTGCCCTAGCCTGTCTGGGGCCTCAGCGCTATTCATGCCAAATCTGCTCTGCCTTAGCTTTCATGGCTAATCTAATCTTGCCAGTTCAGGGATGGCGATGGCGATTGCAGCGTAGACACAGCATCCGTGCAAAGGCCTGTAGGTTCACTGATATCCTCTTATCAGCTCTCCTCTCTCTCAAGCAGGGGAGCTCTGCAAAACTGTACATGAAAAGTTTGAGAAAACACTGAAAGAGCTGTGCTGGGAAAGTCAGACCAAAAGGCTCGATGTTCCACCAGTGGAGACAAAGAGATGCAAGCTGGCTGAACCCAGCCTGCATCATCTGAACAGAGAGATGGTCCCAAAATACCTGTAAGCAAGGAAAAATACAAGCCCTACCTATGCTTCTTAATCCTAACTAACTCCCTGTAGTCCCCTCTGTTTTGGAAAACAAATGGGACGAGATGTTCACAGCAGCCTAGTACATTTAGAGGCAGAGCTTTCACTGGCTATTCAGTGTCTGAATCTCAAATATGTTTTTGCAAATCTCAGCCAAACTCATTTGTCAGTCCTTTATGGGGACTTGGTACAGAACGGTGCTTTGATAAGGGACTCCCCAGTTCCTTAGAGCCCTGGATGATTTTTTAGTGAGAGTCTGCAATTATTAACATTAGCTGCTGCTTGTAAATGGCTGGATTGCCATGCCTGTGCTGTTCCAAAGCTCTTTTGGCATTCATAATAATCACAAATTACATTACAATTTGAGATCTGAAGTAGGAAGAAACATGAAGGAATAGGAAGTAGGAACAAACATGAAAAGACTATTTTGCAAATCCACGAACACTGGCGTTATCCAGGGACCCTGTCCAGGTCCCAGACTTGCCATTGATTCAGTGATTACAGGATGATGTTTCTGAGCTCTGTCACTTTTGTTAAAACCTTACAGTGCAGCTGGTTCCAAGTTTTATCACCGAATCATACATTTGTTGGGGACCTCTAGGCTCTTCTAGGCCAACCCCCTGCACTACCCCACATGCTTACCCAGCTGCTTCTTGAAACCTCCAATGAAGAGGATTCCCTAACTTCCCTAGACACCTTTTCCATCGCCCCGGTGTTCTTACAGTTACACATTTTCCTGAGATTTGAACTGAATGATCTTTGCTGCAGCTTAAACCCTTTGCCTTGTGTCCTTCCTCCCTTCTGTTGCAGAGGAGAACAGTGTATCTTCTTTAAGGCTACCTTGCAGATATTTGGAAACTGCAATCTTGTTCTGCCTTCCCCACCATCTCCTTTTTACCAAACTAAGCCTGCCTGGTTCCTTTAGCTCTTCCATCATGCAGCTTGCTTTCTGCCTCCTTTATCATCATCATTTGCATTTGGATCCTCTCCAGTTTCTGTACATCCTTCTAAAAACCCAGCATCCCAAAGTGGACACAGTGCTCCAGCTGAGGCCAAACTGGTGCCAAGTAAAGTGGCACTAGTCCATTGCACATCTTGCAAACAAAACGGTTAACACAACCAACATGGCACTGATGATGATTCATGTTGGTGATCCACCCCAACCGCAGGTCTTTCTCAAACCAGTTCCCCCCCATTCTGTAACTTTGCATTTGTCTTTTCTTCTCTGTGTAGCACCTTGCATCAGCTTCTCTTGAATTTCATTTTCTTGTCTGTTGCCCAGCCCGCCCCTGCCATACTGCTCCTGTCCTCCAATGTGTTTGCATCCCGCCATGTAGATTGGTGGTGTGTTGTCTGCAAATCTGATCAGCATGCTCTCTATCCCTGCATCCAAATCATTAATTAAAAAGCTAAACAGCATGGGACCTAGCACAGGCCCCTGTGTAACCCTGCATAAGACCTGCTACTTTCCCACCAATCCATTTATAGTTACTCTTTGCTCATGGTTGTTCAGCTATATTATTAACAGTGGCTCTGAGATCTGTTCATCTCTTTCCTTCACTGTCCTGGGCGAATTGCACTGGGCCTTGTTGCCTTAAACGCCCTCAAATTAATGAGAAGTTCTCCGCCATGCCCTTTAGTTCTTGTGATCTGTATCCCTTCCCTTTCTTTGTTTAGCTGCATTTTGGTACGCAGATGATCACAGTTTATCTTCCATTTTTTTACTGGAAGATTGAAGCAAAGCAGGCACGGAGCAGGTCTGTTTGCTTTGCACCTTCTGTTAATAGCCTGCCACAATTTCCCTGGACTTTCCTTTCCCTCTGACGTATTTGCAGAACCTCTTCTTAGCATATTTAGCATTTCTTTTGCGGCTGTAACTCATTCTTCATCTTTGTTTTCCCGATTTTGTCACATTCGTGCCGTGCCCTTGAGGATTTCTTTAGCGATGTACCCTTCCTTGCAATGCCTGTATCTATCTCTTGTGATTTTCAGATAACTTGGAAACTCTTTGTGACATTGGTCTCTTGTGGTTCTTCTTATCTTTCCTCTGCATTGGAATAGCTTGATGTTAAGGCTCCAATATTATGTCCTTTAGGAACTACCAACCTTCTTGGCTGAAGTTGCGTGGAGCTTATCATGCAGTTAATGCCATTTCAGGGGGACAGCCTTGAATCATACAGACCTCTGCTTTATATAAACGTAAATCTATGCATCTTCTTTCCGTCTTCATGCTTAACATCCTGATTTAATTACCCAGCTTAGGTGCACGCGATGAAGAACTTTGCCCCCGCACTGCCCACTTTCTCCTGTTTGATTTGGCAATGCAAGCTAGGGATCTTTTTTTTTTTTTTCCTTATAGGAATGCAATTTTCCATACATGTCCCAGAGCAGAATTTGGCCTGTAATATTGAGTGCATAAGAGCACAGTTGTTTCCAGGGGCAGAAAGGCAGGAGGCTGAGAGGCAGAAATCCTTTAATAAAACTGTACAAGTGAGTTCAATAAAGCTGAGAGGCCATTGCCGAGCATGCTCCTTCTAAAGTAAATGTTTTTCCTCCTTTGTTGGCTTAGCACGGAGTGTCTCCCAATAAATTACACCACCGGTTTTTATTTGTGAAGAGCGCTCGGCTATTTATTTATTCACTCATATTTAGCAGGCAAGCTCGACTCCAATTAAATGGTCATTTATAATGCCATTATCTCTAATGTTGTGCAGTCACAGGCTTTGTGCAGTGTCACGGAACAAGACCCCTGGCAAGTCCTTGGCAAAAAGCATTTAGCTCTGCATCCGTCTCAGCTGCCAGAACAGCCCGCTCTCAAACCTGCGCGGCGAAACGTCTTGTTTCTTTCTGACATATGTGACCGAGCGTTCAATTGCTTTATGAAGTGGTTGTTGGTGAGCCCAAATCCTTTCCATCCAGCCAAGCCTCCTTGAAAAAGATAAACATTCCTGCACCCTGCCGTGGGATGAAGATATGCAGCAATCTCCCCAGAGGATGAACTGCAGAACCAACCACTTCATTATGCAGCAAAAAGAAATTGCTGGGAGCGTGATGAAGAGCATCATCCTGGTCCCATCGGGATTAACTGGAAAACTCCCATGGAAAGCAGCGGACCAGGCTTTAGCTCTTAGCAAACACAGGAGGGAGCAATTAATTAGTGCCTCTTGTCTTGTCAGCATTTGCCCCATTATGCTGCAGATGCCTCTGTTATCGGAACAGTCAAATTCGCCAGCAGACGCCCCAGCTATTCCCAGGCGCTCTGAAGAGAATCGCCTGGGATTTGATTTAGAAAATCTGCCGCCAGCCAGGTTTTGTGGTAATTATTCATAGGCATGGCAGTGTCACCAGGCAGTCTGGCCAGGCACAGAAGCAAAGCCTTGTTTCCATAATGCGCATCACGATGGTCTCTCTGATTCAAAAAAATCCCCTGCCACCTATAGACTTTCTTACGCTTACGGAGGGCCAAGGTTCAATTAATGCAAGCAACAGGAGGAATGGAAAGAGTGGGGGAAACTAATTCAGTACGGCAGTGTAAAGCTGAGTGGGGCAGCTGGCGTGGCTGGAGCCAGGTCAAGTCAGAGAAGGTGCAGGAAAACAGTCCCTCAAATCAACCGTTCAGCAGTTTTTTACCCCAGGCGTTCCAGGGCTCCAGTCTTGATGGACCCATAGTCTGATCCAGTATGGCAAATCCTGTGTTCCTGAAGTCTTTCATCCTTCTCTCTCCTTTTTCCCTTGCTCTCCTGAAGACTTACACATGGGATTTCATTTTGGCTTAATTAGGAGGTATGTCGAGGCCCTTTTCCCGGGTTCTAGAGAGTTACTTTCCACTCTGATGAACACTGGCTTCAAATGACACAAATGACGAGCTGTTAAGAGCACTGTGGCAATCAAGACTCCTTTGATGGCAAAGCTAAAAATACGCTTCTCCAGCTGACGCAGCCTAAAAGATGAGAACGTACCGGTTGGTTTCAAAGAATACATCTCTTTCTACGTGACTTCATCTAAGATAAGTACAGGGGACACTGTCAGGGGGGTGGGTGCATTAAAAGGTTATTTCTGTCTTCCGAGAAAAAGCATTAATATAGCAGCTATTTCAAAATCTGACCCTAGCTATACTGTGCTGTAAGTACTCGTTCTTACAGCACATTAGAAACGAGGATAATAAGCAGGGGCCTGGTCATTGTCACACTTCCTCCAGTCACCAGTGACACTTGACGGTGAGGTACAGGCCCCAGAGGTATGAAAACAGCATTGCCCACCACCCTGATCCACCGGGAGACTGTCGTCTTCCACTTCCTACCTTTACTCCTAATCAGACAACCGTCCCCTGTTCTCTGTCACATCATCACCGCTGCCGCCCTGGCTCCCACAACACTTCTCACCACATCCTGGCCTAGACCGAGCAGTCCGGGTAAGGATGGCAGACTGATGAGACTGAAGTATCTAGGACAAAGCATGGTTCTCTCCACGGGGAGTCACAGGCTAGGGATGAATGCATAAGGCTCTCGGGTGAGAGAGAGAAAGAAGAGCGTTTGTACACCAGATAAAGGAATATACAACCCATTTAATGTGCACCCATCTCTGCTGATTCCACACTGGCTCTGGATCGTATTTCTGTGAACCCCGGTAAATAATGCAGGCCACTGAATGGGAGCCTTCTTGCAGCCCAGGGTGACAGTGAATCACCTCACCCGGTCACCGGGAGCATCCTTCGTTCAACTCACTTTCTGGACTTATGTACAAGTAAGCTTCTGATGCCACGAACGCAGAGGCAGGACCGCCAAGCACTTTCATTAAGCAGAACGGACAGTCCTCCAGGCTTACGGTTTCGATAGATACATTCAACGCTTCCAGTTGCTCCAGTTTGCGGCTTTTCCGGCAAAAGGCATCTGCTCCACTCGGCCTCTGCCCGTGTGAATAGGGGGTGCCTCACCTCTACACCTCTGTCGGCAGCTTCCCGTTGCCTGCAGAGTTTTTGAGGCTCCCGTTGAGTGTGGTCACCCTGAAAGTGAAAGACCGTCCCCTGAGCGAACCGTCCGTGTAGAAGCTCTCGGGCTTGTTCTGGCAGCTGAAGAACATGAGGAACCCGTTCCGGTAGTTCTTGTTCATCCAGCCGTAGAGCAGGGGGTTGACGAAGGTGGAGCACATGGCCACCACGTGGAACACGGTGTACAGGAGTTTGTACTCGTGGAAGATGAGAACCAGATCCAGGTCAATGGCAAGCTGGAATATGTGGAAGGGAAGCCAGCAGACTGCAAACACCACGACCACCATGACGAGCATTTTGGTCGTCTTCTTCCTCCGGCACTGGCTTTCGCTCCTGGAGGTGGGGCTGATATGGCTTTTCAGCTTGAACCATATCCTGATGTAGGCATAGCAGATGATGCTGAGTGGGAGGACGTACTGCAGGAGGAGCATGGAAAGGCTGTAAATGGTAGCGTCTCTGTTATTCCCAGAAGGCCACTTTTCAGAGCAGACGGCTATTTTGAGGTTGATGGATGGGATTTCCTCGTACCGGTACTCTCTGAAGATGGCCAGCGGGCCAGCCAAGATGGCAGCCGCGAGCCATGTGATGGCTATGATCGTGAAACTGAGCTTCTTGGAGATGCGGCTGTCCAGGTGGAAAACAATGCATCTGTACCTGTCCAGAGCAATCACGGTCAAGGTGAGAGTGGACACGTGGACACTCAGCGCTTGAGCATAAGGGACTAAGTGACAAAGAATTGCCCCGAACTTCCACTCATCCAACAGGGTGTAAACCAGGGTGAAAGGCAGGCAGAGGGTGTCCACCATGAGGTCGGCCAGGGCCAAGTTGGCTATGAAGAAGTTGGTCACGGTCCTCATGGTTTTGTATTTCACGATCGTGTAGATCACTAGGGAGTTGCCAATGAACCCCAGCAGGATGATTAAAGAGTAGGCTGCAATCAGTATCACCTGGACTCCCACGATCTTGGTGCTGTCCATCATGACGTTGCCGGACCCGTAGAGACCCGGGCTCGGAGTGACCAGGCTGTTGGACTGGTCCAGGACGAGCTGCTCCTCCAGGACGAGCTGCTCCATGATGAGGGTGCTGTTGGGTTCCTCCACGGGCCCCATGCCTGGCTTGTGCCCTTCAGCCAGGAAGAGGAAGGCAGCGCTGTCACCTGTGGGATGCAGAGAGGGTACAAATGAGATGGGGGCAGATGGCAGAGCAGCTTCCAGGGCTCGGGCTCAATGCAGCGGGTACAGGGTGACATTTCAGACAGGCAGTGGCAGTGCCCCCGGCTGCTCCCCACCCCGTGACTTCCCTCCCGTTACAGTGATAAGCTCATGGTTTCCATACAGCACTCAGATGGAAATGTCAACCCCTCCATCACATCTCATTTTCAACACACGATGAAAGTGATGCCAGCCCAGCGAGAAAAGGACAGTGCCCACTTGGTTCCTCGCACGAGACTTTAAGGTCTTGCTTATTTAATTTGGAGGGTTAAAAGAAATGGCCTCCAAATGCTACGTGGTTCAGACAAGGGCGAGCTTGCACTCACACAGTGCCGCCGGAGTGCCCTCTCCCACCCCAGGTCTCTCAGGCCATTGCTGTGGTTTGCAGAAGGTTAAATGAGCTCAGGGAGGATGGTGGGGAGCATCAAAAATAACGTCACCCTGTCGGAGTCAAACAGCCGGCCAAAGAGTCGGTCTCCTGCCTGCCGTTCTGGCTACGAGACACTGTGCCGGGCTCTGCTTCCTTTGCACTCTCTGTCTTTTTGCCTCTCTCCCCCTGCGGCACTTCTCCTGGCTCCTCTCCCTCGCATCCTCACAAATACACTCCAGGACCGGCAGGCCAAAGAGCAAGCACTGGAGGCCTCGCCTACCATAGGGAAGCACGAGACTAAGGGCTCACAAAACACTAAATAGTGAAGAGAAAGTCGCTAGGGATTTCGTATTGATGGTTTCCCACCAGACAAGAACGAGGGGTCACAAAATGACCTCCCAAGTCGGTTGTAAGTGTAAAATGAGCACAAGGAAGTTTGGTTTCACACAGCGTGCTATTAAAGGAGGGGGAACTCATTGCCACAGGATGAGGTGGGAGATGAGAGTTTAGCTGCATTCAAAAAGGGATCGGACACATGCTTGTAAGAAAGGGGCATCACTGGCTATTAAGGGTGGGGATGAGGAGCGCCGCCTCTGAATCAGAACCTCCTAGACCTTAAATGTTGGAGGCTGCAAGTGAGAGAGAGAAAGGAAAATACCCGGGTTGTGCCCTATTCACTCTCCCTTTCAGCACCGGCTCTCTGCCGCTGTGTGACACAGGCAATTAAGCAAGACAGACCTATGGTCTGACCCTGTAACGAGCAGTTCTGATGATCTGAGTAGGGCTGGATGGAGCAGGGAGGCCTGAGCACGCTGCCACCCCCACCACCCTCCCAGCTGGGGTTGCTGAAGCCGTGCAATTCAGGTTGTCACTCTGCCAGTGCAGGTTCAGCCTCACCCTTTACCCCCATGGAGCATGGATCGACTTGTGCAAGTGCATGCGTGTGCCCTGGCATGGGAGCCAATGCCCAAATGTGAGCAAGCTTCTGCCAGGGCTGTGCACGAGCCTGGCCATCCAGGCACAAACAGATACCCAAGCATCATACTTGAGAACACAAGTGTCGACATGGATTACCCGCTCCTGGCATGGCACATGTGGCCAGCCATCCCTGTGCAAACATGCCTTTGGCAGCAGAGCATGTGGTGACCCAGGGCCACGCCAGGTCTGCGAGCTGGTGCTGGATTTTGGTGCCATCGCAATAAGAGGACATAAGTAAGTGCCGCAACTTTTCACCTGGTACACATGCAGCAGGATAACCTTCAGCACAGCTATTAAATCCCCATCAGCCTTTCCTCCCCACTGGGTCCTGTTCACTCCCATCCTCACCCTGGCCCAAAGGGGAGGTCAAACCCCAGGAACAAGGCTTGAGCAGAGTGGCGGTTAGCAAGAGATTAATGGCCATGCATAAATAACTGTTCGGGCAGCCTTGTGCTTCAGCCTGTCTGCTGTGAATCAAGCGCAGTGAAGAGCAAATGCGTTTCCTGCCAGGCGCCAGGGAGGGATGAAATATGGGTGCAAAGGAAGGATGCCCCTTGGAGTTCAGGGCATCCTCCTTCCCTCTGCCCCGTTTCCTGCCTTGTTGCAGCGAGAGCCCAGCCTGCCAACCACGGGGATTTCGAAACACCACGTTCTCGGGGGCAGACAGCTCTCCAAAATGTCATGTGCAATGCACCGCGATTTAAGTTAGATCCTTAAACAACTGGGAGGAAACAATGGCCATCAGAGGCTGCCCTGCCATCATGTGTAACAAATAATAAATGGCTCTGCCTTGGCTTGTCCCTCCTCAAGACACGGATCAGGCCTCCTCCTGGGACGGCGGCAGGAATCTGCTAGCTGCACAGCTGTGCTGCTTGGGAAGCCCTACACGGAGAGGACTGCCTAATTTAGCCTGGTCCCAATGCACTCGCTTTCTCCTGCCCCCTCCACGTTTTTATTGGCTTTGACAACTCCGGCACCAGCGGCCCTAATTGTGCTGCTGAATCCTTCAAGAGACGCTGCCCCGATCTCTCCTCTCAGAGAAATCAATGTGGTCCCATGGCGAGCATGGGTTGCAGCGAGGTGGCTTCATTATAAGAGAGCGTGTGGCCCCCACTCTTCGTAGCCAGAGGAAACAAGCAGTGCATTGACAAAACAAATGCTGAACAGCTACGGGAAGGAGAGCCTGGTCCAGGCCAGGCTCTGGAAGACCCCACTTCCCGTCCTCTCCGCAGGTACCCATGTCACTGTATGACAGTCACTCGGGCAAGGCCTGTGCTGCTTGCCAACCCACCCCCCACGTGTGACCCTAGCAGTTAGGCAGGTGATGCATGTGCCTTGGTGCTGCTCCCTGAGCCCGAAAGGAGGACGAGATGCTTGCTCAGGACCTCGCCGTGCGGTCTGCTCTGCCTAGCTGGGACGGGGCGCGAGCGGGTGGCTTGTTTGGTAGCAGTGGCCCCGGGCTCAGCAGGCAGGCAGCATGGCGTAGCCGCACGGCGCTTTCATCAAGGGGAGAGAAAAGTTCCCTGTGCTTTACGGGGGAATAAAAATGCAGTGAGGCCTGGGAGACCTGATCCCAGCCTGGCAAGGAGGGACGGTAGCACTCTGCCGGGGGACTTTGGGGCACGAAGGCAGTGTGGGAGGTAGGTGCAGGCCAGCGGAAGTGGGGAGAGAGACCCCACTTGGTGATAGCTGCATCCCTTCTTATAGATTCGTAGATGTTAGGGTTGGAAGGGACCTCAATGGATCATCGAGTCCGACCCCCTGCATAGGCTGACCCTGCCCAAAACACATCCCTGCCCGCTGCCCTCCTCTGGCTACACGTGCCCAAAGGCCAACTTTGTGGGAGGGCAGAGCAGAGTTTTGGATCGAAGGCTGGTGCAGAACAAGTGCCAGATGTGCCCCCAGCCAGGCACTCCTTCCCCTAGCTCCCTCGCTGGGCTCTTGTCTCCTACGTCCTGCCCATCGCACCACCATTCTCCCTGTCTCTGCCTACATCCCATTGCCTCTGCCCCTCATCCCAACCCGGGCCCCAGGCTTTCCTTCTACCCACATCGCCCCCCAACCAGCAGCAGAGCTCCCCCCTGATTTCTTTAGCCGGGGCCTGGAAGAGACACATGCTCCGGGAGCAGACAGAAACAAAAAGATGATGATTTGGGCTGTTTTGTCTCCTAACTAAAAGGTTTTAATGGGTGTTTCACTTTGCAGAGGGCAGTGATTAAAAATCAATTACAGGGTTTTACTTTAGAGGAAAAACGGTGATGATTGTAATGGCCCTTCCGCGGGCGGCTGGGAGGTCCCCGGGCTGCTGCTCCCTGGAGAGCTGGGGCATGGAGCATCGCTCCCACGGGGACCCACATTGTGGAGGTGCAACCTGTGTGAACCGCGGGTTGGGAGGGGCTGAAGCTGCCAGGCTAGATGGAGAAACCTCAGGAGAATGAGAAGCACTTTGGTGGGAACAAGGCAAGCAGAGCCAGAAATACTCCTGTCTGCTCTCCAGCCCCTGCCGCTGCCTCCCACAGCTGGGAAGGAGCTGGGAGAATGCCCCCTCGGCCATCCCTCCTCTCAAACCAAAATCTTCCCCAGCTCTTTCCTCCAAGGCAGACCTGCACCGTCTGCCGCCAGGTGCCCTGCCCAGCACGGGGCATACTGCAGCACTGAGCAGTGACACTCATCCTGCCCCCGGGCAGAGCCGTCACGCTGAGGATGGTAACTGCAGTCTGGAGAGAAGAGGCCACCCCGGCAAGGACCGCTCCGATGCTGGATGTGTCCACTCCCAGGGACCTCCGGTCTGCACCGCACCAGAGAGCGGGGAGGGGACAGCCCATGTAGGTAAAGGCAAATGGCAAATCTATTTTCTAACCCCCGTATCCCCTGCACAGGCCAGGGCCAGAGCATGGGTGGGACAAAGTGTTTGTGGAGGAAGGACGGCCACACTGGGGAGCTCGATACAGGCCGGTACAGAAATCCCAGCTTGGTCGCCATCGAAGGATGGAGCGGAGTCCAGACATCAGCCCAGCTCTGCTTCAGCTTCCTTCCTCCCAGGGACCAGACTGGAATCCAGGCCCAGGACGGCCATGTGAGTCCTGGAGGAAGTGCCTGCCTGACCTCACCATCTACCTTTTTTGGGGGTGGGGGGGAAATATATATATATATATATATATATATATATACACACACACACACACACACACACATATACATACATATACATATATATATATAAAGGTTTTACCTTTACCACCATCTACCTCTGCAGACTATAGGGAGTTTCAGCTGAGCCCCGGGTTGCTCCTGTCCACCCCGTTGGAGCCCACGCTCAATTTGGCCCATCTTTCAGCCACGGGTGCCTGTGCAAAGCCCTGTGGGGCTCCACGGGGTAGGACTGAAGCAGGGGCAGTTGGACAGAGATGGAGATGGAGGAGGAGAGCGCTGCCCTCCGGAGACAGAAGCAGCAGAGCTTGTTAATTAAAATCTCTCTCCTTTCGGAGCAGGGAGATTACGGTGGCTCCAGCCTGCGGTGGCAGAGCGTGAGCAGGCATAGATGGGAGGGAGATAAGGGCAAAGGCTACTCAGAGAGAGGCCCCTCGGCAATCGCAGCCCCGTTGCCACTATCACGGGGTGGCCTCTTGCCCCTGCTTCGGACCCAAGGGCAGTGGCTCTGAATAATAACGTTTGTGCTCCCTTTTCACGACTGGCGGAGGCACAAGGGGGCACGCCTGCATCCTCACACCCCTGCTCACCGCCCCTTCCCCAGCGCTGGGTCCAGCTCAGGGTCAGGGAGCTAAGGCCACACCTGGCACCCGTGCTGTCCTCAGCCAGACCCCATAGCTGCAGTGTGAGGAGGGGAGCAGCACTGGCCAGACTCGGGGCTTGGGAAGCCGCAGGGACCGTGTCAACTCTTCCCCGTGCAGCCCCAAGGAATCAAGACGGGATGCAGTAAAGGGGGGGCCCAAATGTCCTTGCTCCTCCCTCGAGCACATGCAGCAGCAGTGTTTGGGCTTCCCCAGCTCTGCTTCGTTGCAGGAACTGTGCCACTGACTTCGGCAGAGACGCTTGTCTCCTGTGTCCTACGTGGTGGCTTTGCTGTTCTGGAGCTGTTTATCCAGGCTCAAGGCGATACCAGACTCCAAGCACCGGATCTGTGACTGAGGCCAAGTGTCCCGCCAGCCCCTTCCCCAAAGGGCCTGCAGCCAGGCAGCTCTGCCAAAATAGCCAGCACCATTTGCACCTGCCCAGATGTGCAAGCACACATGCGTGTTTGCAAGCATGTGCGTGTGTTCATGCATGTAGAAGAGAATCAGACCCTTCCACCTGCCCTGCCCCAGCTCTGCTCTTGCAGAGCATGCCCCCAACATGGAGAAGCCCCAGACCCTGGGTATTTTGTATTGTGGGATGAGGGGCTTCCAGTGGAGCGGCAGCAGAGAGGGAAACACAAAGGATTCAATCTCTTCCCCTGACCCGCACCCCTGGAGGCCTGAGGAGGCTGAGAGCATGCTCCAGTGCCCACCCCCTCACCTCCCAGACCCGGCATCCCAGACGGCCCCGACTGGCATCCTACTTGATTCTTCCAGCTCTTGGGAAGGGGAAGCCAGCAAACAGAGGGGATGATCCTTCGCGCCTGGCTGCACATCCAGCCAGGAAACCCCTTGCACATCCAGGCATTTGCCAAGCCCCTTGGGCCAAGGGGCAAACTCCCCAGGGCTCAGGGGAAGAGAAAGGAGAAAGGAACAGCCACCGTCAAACCCACCCAAAAACACAGCCGGAGAGGAGTGGCATGGCGGAGGGGAACAGCCCTCAGGGCTCCTAATCCCAGGCTGGACCCTAGCGGACAGGTCCAGATGTTCACTCCACATGTGGGTGGAGCAGCAGAAGTTTCTGCAGGGGACAGTGCCGGGGAGCTGGCTCTGGAGGAGCTCCCAGCCCAGAGCAGGGGGGCCAAGGGGAGGGGGGTGACGGGGCCACCCCTGCACTGTCTGACCACCCCAGTCCTTTCCCCCCAGGACAGTGGCAGGAACTCGGCTCTACCCCAAGCAGGCGACACAATGGGAGAGGTGTAGTGGCACTGCCTGGGGCAGGAGGGGAGAAGCCCCTCACCTATTGTTCCCTTCCGGCTGCAACTAGCAGGAGACGCAGTAGAAAAGAGGGAAGGAGCTGCCCCTCCAGCTGCAAGAGATGCAGCAGATGTGCTGCCAGCATCGCCACACAGGAGAGGAGAGGGAGGCAGACTCCCAGCATGGCTTTTCCTCTGCTCCGGCTAGTCCTGCCAGGACCATCTCCAGCCTGCAGCCCCTTCAAGCTGGGGGGAGAGGGGTCACTGCAGCAGGAGGGGATGGAGGGGGAAGGGGGAATGGAGGGGGTAGAGGGAAGGGAGGGATGGAGGGGTAGTGGGAAAGAGGACCCAGATTCCTGCCCTGGTGCAGACCCAGGAGCGAGCTCCTGAGACCATGCCAGGGTGCAGAGGTCAGAGACCCTGCAGAGTCTGTCCCAGCCCGAGGGCAGCCCCATTTCTTGCATGCACATGTGCAACAAGGGGGCAAAGAGCAGTCCCTGCTTTCTTCTGCCCCCAGCTCCCGGGACTGGAGCTGGGCACAGAGCCAGCCGAGTGGGCAGCAGGGGGAGGAGGTCTGTGCCAGGGCTGTGGGGTTGAGAAGAGCCCATTTCCCCACACATCGGCTCATCCGGGTCCAGGCAGACCCCCTGCCCCTTCTCAGGACACCGCCAAAGTCCCGCAGCATTTCCCGCTGCATCCCACCGCTGCAGCTGACACCGGTCCTGGGAATGCCACTGTCCAAGCTGGCCCCTAGCCCATGCCTTCCCCAGCCCACCTGCCAACCCAGCACCCTCCTAGTCCAGCCCGGGAGGCCCCGGGAGCCACTCACCTGCTGTCACCGTCTCATGGATGGAGCTGCGGTCCTGTCCCCAGTGCAACCTGTAGCAGCGGCCCCTGCCAGCCACGTGCAGGCTGTGGCCCGGGGGCACACCTCCCCGCTGGTCCCCGGGCCAGCGCCTGCCCAGCCCTGCCTCCCTCGGCGCCTGATGCTCCAGGAGACACTGAACAGGAGAGAGGGAGCGGGAGCCTGTGTTTGACAAGCAGGGAGGGGCCTGGCTGCTGTTTATACAAGGCTGGAGCCGCGGATGCTGAGTGCTCCGGCAGCGCAGGGCACCGCGGGGACCCCAGAGCAGCTC